AACGAAGTTAAACTTAATTTTGAACATCGAAATAACTAAGAAAATATTTTATTTTCAATCATCAATGTAGATCTGTAGAAATGATTTATTTTTAAAACGAATATTCAATTATAAAGATATTATTTGTTATTAAGAATAGTTTTCCTTAGTATCATAAAAGAGAAAAATTTTCTCTTTTATTTCAAGAATATATTTACAAAGGTTATTTAACAGAATCTCGAAAGAAAAAGTTCTGTTTGAACACAAAATATTATTGTGTATGTTTTATAGATAAAGTTAGAATGAATAAAAGTGTCATACTTTGGTCTTAACTCGTTGATGAACATTCATATATGATATATCGTTGGAATAATTTATGTTATTCATTGAAGCATTTAGTGTTAAATTAATTAAATGAATTGATCCATTCTATGATCCAATAAATAAGATTTTTTTTATCTCATTTATTGATTAAGAGAATATCAAAATCAAGTACGAGTTTTTCTAATTGTCATCATTTCAAATTCTTTTATTTTTTTATCATTAGTTAATAGGGTACGGGTGTGGATGTGGGTGTGGGTCTGTATGGATGGATGGACGACTGATACTCACACACACCCTAACTTTGACACTATATGTTTCGCTACATACAAAATCAAATTTGAAAATACAACTGCTTATTGGAAAGTTGAAAATCGTACATTGGTGTGGTGAGCGGATGTGGATGTTTTCTTCTTTACAGTCACATTCACGCTCATTATGTCTTTTAGCAACTGGTATATTACCTCCACGAAAAAACTTGTTTGTAAATCGAAATGTACGACTACATAAATTTAACCAACGTTTTAAACGACAATCATTAATATTTAATAAATATCTTGAAAAGTTTCTAGAATTAATCGAAATAAAAAAAAGTATTTTTGATTTTCTTTTCTACATTCATACTTTCCTTTAATAATTTTTTATTCATGTATATAAATCTGCTCTATAATAAAGTTTTTTTTCGGCAAATTTATCTACTAGTAATTAGGCACTATTTCTAATTAAGATGACGAAACACCTCATCACATGATATAAGCTATTCTTCGTTGATTAAGCAGAATTTATTTTTTCGACGAAACGAGAACTAATCACATAGAGAGAGAGTGGTTGTACATGATCGAAATAATTGTAACGTTGATAATTCAATCGAGATAGGGATGGTGGATGTCATTTCATCGCAATGAAAAGGTCAAGAGGGAAGAGCAAAAATAAATGTGATAAGTGAACAGTTCGTATGTTAAAAAAAAAACAAAAACAAAGAAATCATCCTTACCAACAAATGAATCTTGGATGAGACTCNTTAAAAAGGTTATTTAACAGAATCTCGAAAGAAAAAGTTCTGTTTGAACACAAAATATTATTGTGTATGTTTTATAGATAAAGTTAGAATGAATAAAAGTGTCATACTTTGGTCTTAACTCGTTATGTTAAAAAAAAAACAAAAACAAAGAAATCATCCTTACCAACAAATGAATCTTGGATGAGACTCATTCAGAAGAAATGACCGCATTTACAAAAGAATCCTACTTTTCTAATTTTTGATTTATTCTTTAATAGCAATACAATTCTCGATCTAAACCATCAATGAATTCTTTTCATTTAATCCTCATTTAATCATGTGCTATAATTGGCATTAATAACCAGAGCTGTACATCTAATCTGCCAGGCTAGAGCAAATGATCTATTACATGAGTTTCGCTAGGATTTATTTACCTTTGTTCTATTTTAAGATTGACTAAAGTTTAGTGTAGCGACGTGTATCGTCTCCATTATAATCTTTTTTTCCTATATTGATCTAATAGCTATTTTCTTTTTTTTCCTGATCGTCATGCTTAAAGTTGTTATTTTTTTCGATAAATGTATATGCGATGTATATATGAATAACAGAAATTAGAACATGCTGTGTTTAAATGAATTGTCCAATATCATATAAACATTTCGTTTTTCTAGGTTCATCATATTTTCGAATGAATTCAAGCAATAACTGGCGGTCTTTCTTGATAAACCTAAGTAACAAGCATTCGTTTGTTTTAGATTCTGACGCAGCCATGGTGATGAATAAAAAGACATTAGAATCGTTATCCAACGAATTATTTCTTGATTTATTCGAATTAATTGATGCAATTAATCTTTTTCATGCTTTTTATGGTCTAAATACTCGTTTTAATTCGTTATTATTAATTTATTTTCAAAATTATCGTGTTGATTTTCGCTCAATATTCAAAAAAGATTTTGATGCATTCTACCAAATGTACCTTTCATCGATAATCAATAGTATAATTTATCTTCGACTATCCGATGATGAGGATACACTATATCAACGTGTTCATTTTCAATCCACTGATCTTACGATAGATCGATTTAATAATCTTTGTTCATTAACATTCAATAGTTTTAGTTCGGATCAGAAAATTAATCAACATTTTTTTCGAACCTACATTGTTTTCATCATTTAACACAATTGAAATTTGTCGATTGTTTCACATTGTCATAAACGATTTTCAAGATGTGATTGATCAAATTTGGAATCTATCGAAATTGACTCATTTATATTGGGATATCCGTTTTAAAGCTGAAAAATATTTTTCTATACCTACTTGCATATGAACATCGTTGCAATACTTAACTATTCACCAGAATACATGGTATTCATATGAACTTTCCTATTTATTAGAAAAAGTACCTTATTTACGAAAATTTTCTACATCGTTGGATACTTATGAAAAATATGATTTTCCTCTTGTTCATATATTTAAACCATCACCTCAAACTTATCAATTACAAAACTTGTTCTCTCATCAATACGTTCACAACGTCTAATTATTAATTTATTTCAATTATTACCTAATGTCATCTATTTAAAAGCTGAAATATTATTTATTAACTTAGATGGACATCGTTTGGAACAAATTATTATTAATTATTTACCTCAACTTAAAGTTTTACAATTTAAGATAGATTTGAATCTTGGTCGTTCAATTGATGATCAAACAAATAAAGAAAAAGTTGATCAATATGTTGCTACATATCGTACACAGTTTTAGATAGAACATCATCAATGGTTTATTCGATGTCATTGGAAAATATGGATAGATGATCTTTCGATTTGTGTTTATTCATTACCGTACGTATTTGATGATTTTCTTCCTTTTCTCAACAATTTAAATTATCATACAAAATCAATTTATCCATCTGAAATGTGTTTTTCCTATGATTTTGTTCATAAGATCGAACATGAACAATCGCTGTTCAACGAAGATCCGTTATCCAATATTAAACTCAACAATATTGAAGTATTAGGTCTTAAATTTCCAATTGATCATCGATTTTTTTCACTTATTCCCATTGTTGAAAATTTATTTTCGCTTAATGTAGTTATTCCAACAGAAAACTATCATTTGCAAATGCAAGCATTACTTGATCGTGCACCTCATCTGTTCTCACTAGGATTTGAATCTTGGAACACTTCGGCAATACCACCATATCAATATAACAGTTCATCAGTACGTCGACTTGATTTAGAAGGTCGTGATCGATCTAGTTATGGTCATTGTTTTGATAGTAAAGAATGTGTGGCATTAATTCGATCACTGTTGGACAAGCAATGTCGAATACTAGTCATTGAAGTGGAAGAACCCGTGTGTATTTTGGCATTAGTTCATTATATGATTAATCTTTGAACACTGCATGTTTCCTATGAACATGATAAACGTTGAAATAAACATGATTTTGTCAAAGCCTTGCAAAATCGTTTACTATCAACATGGATTGCTATCCGACATTGTTATGGAAATATTATTATTAATCAAGGGAGAAACAGCGGACTTTTGGACTTGAAGTTACTTTGAGTTACTTCAAGTAGTCTACTTTGACATACTTTAGCGTACTTTTCTACTTCAAGTCCGCTGTTTCCCCCTTGTTATTAATTCATGACTTTTTTAAATGTCAATATAGTTGAATAAGATCCTAAATAAAATTGAAAACAAAGTAGTTAATAATATTTAGAATCTTTTTTTTCTTTGAAAATTGATCGACTAGTTTTACTGTTATCAATTACCACTAATAGACATATTTGATTGACTTTAAAAAAAAAAAAGTAGTGTCATTTAGAGACAGAATAGTTCACGATTTCGAACAGTTTATCTATTCGAAAGCTCGTTAATTTCACAATATCATCGATTGAAGTTGTTGACGATATAACAAAAGGTAATAAGTGTTTGAAATATTGAATAAAAATTTTTGTATCTTGATTTGTACAAGTTAATGATGTGAGTTCTATTTATAAGGAATAATTGAAGATGACGATTTGAGAATAGTATCTACTTCTCTCTTTCTATTCAATTTTTATTGGAAAAGACAAAAAATACTGTTTCATTCTATAACAATAAATATAGATTCTGAATAGAATAATCTAAATATGTTACGATCAATGTTATTTTCTAAATAGAAAGAGTCTTAAATAAAATTTTAGAACTATTCTGAAATTTAAAAATGTGACATATAATGTATAGAACTTGTTTAAAGCAGAAACCAATCGATGATCGAGAGGGTTGTTTGCTTACATATAAATACTTGAATTCATAATAGAGTTAGTAGTTCGGAAAAATGTATTGCATTAATATCCGTTGAAGGCAGAAAAGAGATTTTTAAATCGATTGTACCAAACAAGTTTTGTAAAAAGCTTTATTAATTAATATTCTTACTTTTTAACCGACAATTTTGTGATAAATATTGAAACCTATAAATTAAACTAACCACATACAGAGACTTATAGATGCAAATTCGACAGAGAAGCAAAGAACAAACGAGAATATTATTGAACAAGACTATGATAATTACAGAGGTTTGTGAGCAGTGTTTCCAATGGAAATCTAAAACAAAACTTATATGTACACTTTGGTTAAGCAAGCACAATGTATACGTACACTTTATTTTTACTACCAAAGTGTGCAAAGTGTACTGAAATCAATTTGAAATATATGTGCTAGTGTATAATCTGACACAGTCTTTTAGGAAAAGAATGAGAAAAAAAGACTTTGCACAAAAAACAAAAGTTACCATATTCATTAGATAAACAACTTGTTAGCTTATTACTTGAATTTTTTATTAACATCGACTGTTGATGTTGACGAAGAAAATGAAATCATGAATATCATTTCAATTACATGATTAACAGCATTAGAAACATATTCTGTTGAAATGTGAACCTTTATTTTCAAATTTTATCTATAAAAGCACAGAGTAGAAGTAGAATTAGAGTTAAAATACAATTAAAGCTAATTCTTTATATTGAAAGAGATGGAACAGACCAAATAAAAGAAATTGCATTAGTCAAATATAGAATAATACTTAGAAGATAATCGTTGCCCGTTGTACACAGATAATCTCCGATTTACTTCATATCAATACTGTGTACAGTTTTTGAAGTTCTAGAACCAGTGTTACTATTTTATCGGCAAAATGCATTGTGTACACTTTGCGCGTACTTTGTACATCTGCTGTTGGAAATGCTGCTTGTGAGTTGTTTTGGCTATTAATTGAAATTAATACTTTTGGGAAAATATGCATTCATGTAACATTGTTTTAAAAGAGATTGAAAAAGAAACAGAATAAAAAAAGAGCAAATATGTTGATATGATCTGTTATATAGACATCTGCAAAAAAAGAATAGCCTATGAAATAAAAAGATTGTGATTTAAATGTTCATTAGTCACGTAATATTAACTGATTTTGCTAAGGTTCTCAATGTCGATCATAACAGAAGCTGAAAAATAGATAGATGTATTAGAAATTATCTATATAGATTTTATGAAAACTTATTCCGTTTTCAGTCGATACAGCAAGTCTGTCCGAGCTGAACAGTATGGCATGATACAGTGCTCCCTTACATGAAAGGATTGCCGTCATTTTTGCATCCTCTGCAGTATGCAACAAACGTTTAGTTACATAGTCGGCTAGTAGCCATTCGTCACAAGGAAGCGAACAACCATGAAATATGACAGATGAATTTGATATAGAATTGACAATATATGACTAGACACAATCGGATGCCATACGAGATTGAAGATGGGCATGAATATGGGCGTGAGTGTGCATGAGAAGAGAACCGACACCTAATCTAATGATGAAATGAATTGAAAATAATTTTTCCAAGATAAGTGAGATTAGAGTGACTAAAAGATATGCTTCAAGAGACCTAAAAAGTAAGATTGGAATGATCAAAAGCATGGCGAAAATAACCGCAAATATGACTCGAACGACTGCAAATATGACCCAAATGGTCATAGCTAGTAACGATAGTTTAAGTATTCATCACAGCTAATCATGATATACATGATCATGATTAACAGATAGCGGGTAGCTTCATAAAATGATAATTCTTTGAGAAAAAATTTAACTATATGCTATGCTTTAATGATGTAGAAAATCTAAAAGCTGTAGTTTATTTTTTAAATAATAATCATTAAGTCGGTTTTTAGCTGCATAATTTTATTCGTAAGAAGTCAATTTCTAAATATTTTTTTCTATATTAGCAAATAAATCTATTCAACAAAGCGTAGAATAGTACAAATGAGGGTTTGAATTTGGATGTTGGTGTTGATCTGATCTTTACACTCAGACTTACACCCACATAATATATGATTGAAAATAAAAGATTCTTATGTTTTTTTTTTTTTGTTTTTATTAAATGATGACAAAGTCTATTATGCAGAGTCGAAAATAATATTATTCCAGGAGTGTAGCGCCATGATTTCAAATAGTATCACCAACAAGTTTTATACCAAATTAAAGCGCGTCAAAAGTGGAGTTTATCAGTAATAAGTAGTAAGGGTCATGGTAACTTTTTAGGGTTAAACTCATTAAATGTCTAGAATTTGACACCATCTCGACATAGACAAATTCCTTTCACGAAGAAGTTCAAATTAGATTTTTTGTAAGAGAATAAATACTAGGAAGTCATACTTATTTTTCTAAAATTTCATGAGTATAATCAATAATTATTATGACGGACCTTAACATTGGTTACAACACGAAGACCAAACAGATCCCACGTTAAAAGTTTCAAAACACGTAATGTTTGTTTTCTTGTTTTTCAAAAAATGTGAAATGTATTTTCTTTTAAAGTTTCTTAATGATAAAATTTATGTTCCGTCTTTCACAGTATTTTATTAACTTCATTTATGATTATAATTCCAATATTTCCAGGCTCGTCAACGATTACTTTTGATATTCTTCGCATTGCGGATCAGATCTAGTTTGAAAATTCCTCATGAACGGAATTTTTCTATGCCGAGATGTTGTCAAATTCTAGACATTTAATCAGTTTAACCCTAAAAGGTTACCATGACCCTTACTACTTATTACTGATAAACTCCACTTTTGACGCGCTTTAATTTGGTATAAAATTTGTTGAAACTTTTTGAAATCATGGCGCTACTGTCTTATAATAATATTATTTCCTACCCTGTATCAATTATTCACGAAGGTTTTCATTTCCGTTAATTTTCACTAGTTATTTAAGCCATAAAAACCAATCGATTAATAATACAAAAATTTCGATCAAAAAACTTTTCATTATTTTTATACACGTCGTCTTAAAATATTCAATGATAATAAAAATCAAATGTCAAATCGTATTCGTACATATATATCGAATCTATATTAAAAACATTATCTGTTATTAATTATTTAATTAATTTAAATTCTATAAATCAATATAAATTTTTTTGATCAACAATATCTATTAACAAAACGTTGAACTGAATGTGTATCACTAATAAATAATAATTTTCATTCAAATTTATCTATTGAATTTATCAATTTATTTGTTCTTCATTAACAAAAATATTATGATATTCAAGCAAAACTTTTAAATGATATATTACAAAAATATATTAATCATTTAGAATTAAATTTAACTAATCTTCAAAAAAAAACTATCATTATTTGATATGAGTCTTTGTTCAGTAATGTATCGTTTTCAAACATGACATCAAAAAATATTAATTTACTTGAAGAAATTGCTCAATATTTAATTGGTGATGAAAAGAAAAAAAATTTCTTTCAACTCCTGATGAATATATGTAAAATTTATTTTAAATTTTAACATTATCAACTCATGAAAAAATGAATATAACTGAATCATTAGCAAATTTATTTATATCAATCATTTCTATAAAAATACGTATTGAAATTTATTATTCTATACTTCATTTTTATTCAAATCGATTTTTTTTAAATGTTTGAAATTAATTGAATTAGAATCTAATTCATCTATACCATTATATCGAGCTAAAGGTATTATAATTCAAATAATGAATAAACTTTCTTATATAAGTTATTTACGAAAACAAAATTTTAGATATCTCCAGTTAATTCATACATATTATCAAATGAACAAATAATTTGATAAAAAATTTGAACATTTAATCGATGTGCTTCCACCATAGGCAATTATGATTTGTTTTTCATAGAACTTATTAGAAGAATTTTTTACCAAAGAAAATTAAAATGAATTGATGGGTAAGACATTTTAATT